TGTGTGTGTGTGTGTGTGTGTGTGTGTGTGTATGTGTGTATTTGTGAACCCGTGTTTGAATGCCTGGAGGCCAGAAGAAGGTTTTGGATCTCCTGGAACTGGAGTTACAGGCACTATGCACTGCTTGATGTGGGTGCTAGGATATGAACCTGGGTCCTCTAAAAGAGCAGCAAGTGCTTCTAATCACTGAGCCATCTCTCCAACCCCTCAAGGCTACCCCCGCCATGCAAAATTTTTTTTCAAGAATTATTTTTATTGCTTAAGATAACCTAAGTGGTCATTAACTTTCAAAATAATTTCAAAGCTAGGACTGCAGAAATGGTTCAGAGTACTGGCCATTCTTGCAGAAGACCTAGGTTTAGTATCCATATCAGCTAACAACAATCTAACTCCAGTTCAAGGGAGTCTGCTGCCCTCTTCTAGCCTCTGTGAACACTGGATATATGTGATACACTTATATATATGCAGGCAAAACACTCATACACATAAGAATAGATTTAAAAAACTTAAAAATTCAAAGATACTATTTTAAAATTAAAAATATTTATTTACTTATTTTTATTGTATAAGTGTTTTGCCTGCATGTAAATACACCCATGTTGTGCAGTGCCCATGGAGACCAGAAGAGGGTGTTGGAGTCCCCTGGAACTGAAGTTAAAGAAAGCTGCTAGCTGCCATGTGGGTGCTGGGAACTGAACTTCAGTCCTCTGCAAGGGCAGCCAGTGCACTTCACTGCTGAGTTATCTCTCCAGCTCCAAAGATACTATTTTAAATTGCCATTTTTATGTAAAATGATTTTGAGCAACAGAATTTCCTGACTAAATATTCCATTGAGCTCTCTCTTTCTCTGTACAACTATAGAACCTAGAAAATATTAATCATTTTTTGAACTTTTTTGCTTTTTGAGACAGGGCCTCATTTATCCAAGACTGTGTAGCTGAGGCTGACCTTGATTTCCTGATCCTCCTACCTCTACTTCCAAAGTTCTGGGATTACAGGAGTATGCCACCATGGATAGCTTGAAAATATTATCTAATTATATACATATAGATATTACTGGTGGGAATAAACTTGCCTGATTCTGTGACATTTTATACATATATAATGTTTATATATATTTTTTTATTTACTTATTTTTACTTTATGTGTATGAGTATTATGCCTGCATGTATGTAAGTGCACCTGTGTCATACAGTGCCCTCGAACGACAGAAGAGGATGTCAGAGCCCCTGGAACTGGAGCTACAGATGGTTGTTAGTTACCATGGGGCTGCTGGGATTCCAACTTTGGTCTTCTGCAAGAGCAACCAGTGCTCTTAACCACTGAGCCATCTCTCCAGCTCCCTGATTTTGTGATATTTTAATATAGGATATAAGCTTCTTTCTTGTGGGTTGATACACAGAATTAATTTTATTATTTTTGCTATGTTGGGGCTCAAAGCCAGGGCCTTACACATGCTGTGTGTTCTGCTAAGCCTTGGTTCCGCTACCAAGTTCTTTCTGAACTCTGTGTTGTATGTGTCTCTGTGTGTGTGTGTTATCAGAGGATATAACCTTGAGTGCTATCCCTCAGGAACTTGTCTATCTACCACAGCTGGCCTGGAATTTGCTTACGTAGACCAGGCTGATCACAATTTCACAGAAACCCACTTGCTTCTGCCCCCTGAGTGCTGGGATTAAAGGCATGTACTACCATGTCCTTACCTTGTTTTTGTTTTTTGAGATAGGGCCTCCACCTCCCCAGTGCTGGGACTACAAGTGCATGCCATGACATTACACCTAGCTTTTTACATGAGTGCTGGGGATCAAACTCAGGTGGTCACCATGCTTGTATGGCAAGCACTTTATTGACTCAACTATCTCCTCAGGCACGCCCTCTCCTAACTTTTTAGGCAGGGTCTCACTATGTAGCCTAGGCTGGGTTCCAATTCACCATTTTCTACACTTTAAGGGCTTAAGCAGGAGAGATGATACAAATAAAAGAAAAATTACTAGAGACTTGTAATTTAATTAAGAAAATCCCTGACAAATAACATTATTTCAACTGATAATGAAAACCTGAGGTATTCTTGTTTCTACTCCCTGTAATATACTGTGGTCTATGAGGGCCTCCCTTTGTACAGACCATGGTCTCTTGAATATTCCCTGAAATCTCATGTGTTGAAGGCTATTCCTGGAGCTGATGGTATGATTGGGAGATGGTGGGTGTTTTAGGAGGTGGAGCCTGGTTAGAGAAAGGAAGGAGGTCACGAGGTGAGCCATGTCCTTAAAGAAAATCCTGGGATCCCAGTCCCTTCTCTTTTTGCTTCATAGCGGCCATGAAGTGAGCAGATTTCTTCTGCCACATGCCACACACTGCTGCTACATGTACTGTCTCACCATGGGCCCCAAAGCAATAGGGCCAAGTGACCATGGACCGAAAGCTTTGAAACTATTAGTCCAAATAAACATTTCCTCCTTTTACGTTATTTCAGGTATTTTGTTACAGTGATAGCAAGTTAACACAGCTGTGGAAAAGTGACACATTTAAGAGAGCGAAGGTTTTGGGCTGTGAGTTTAAAAGGCTGGTCTCTGCCAGAACCCCCAGGAAGCCTTGTCTCAGGAAGGAGGGTCCCCTCAGAAATCCGGTTAGGCAACAAGGTCTGGCAGCCAACACAAGAGAAAGAGACTCCAGTGGTTTGTGTCACAGAGCAGCTTTTAGCAGTAAGGAGGGATATATATATAAGAGAAACAGAGAAAAGAAACGGAGGGAAGAAAGAGGGACAGGATAGGGCATGGGATGGAAAGGGGACAGCAAGATTTTGGAGGTGGAAAATGATGCTAATGAGAAGATAAACCCGAAGAAAATGATCCTTTTACCTTCCACAGGGGACAAGGGAATATGAAATGCTAAAAGAAAAACAAACAAAAACAAAGTAAACCATGAAAAGTCAAATTAATGCTTTAAGAATCAAAATAAAAATTGTATTAAGCTGGAAAATAAAAAGGCAATGACAAAAAACAAGGTGGTCCAGAAGAGTTTCTTCCTTCTCCCTTCCCTAATGCCATCAGTTCAATATAGGCCCACACCACTGTCCAGATTCCCACTGAAACAGGATTGAAAATACTGACAGGGAGAGCCCGTCAATTTCTAGACACATGACCAACAGTTGGTGAAAGATCAATGCTAGGATCATTAGTGGTTTAGTTACTGATGGTCTCAGGGGACCTGGCCCCCACCCCCACCAGTTCTACTTAATAGTCATTCAGGCCCCTCACCAACAGCCCCAAACACAAGACCACAGGAGTATACCAAATCCCAGGGAAGAAGATGAAGGGGGAATTACATCACCAGGAAATCTTTCCAAGGCAGAAGTGTTCTTCCACGGAGCTGTTCAGTAGCTATAACTGGTTCTGAGTTCCTAGACTAAGACCCAAAGATAAACATGGGCCCCTTTGGCTCTGCATTCATTCTTACCTCAAAGACACTGCACTAGATGTAGCAAAGGGAGAAAACAGTACCAAAAGGAAGCTACAGTCTCAGTTGGGTCTTGGCTCCCAGAAACAGGAAAGAAAGCCCCTCCACCAACATGCTGTTAGGGGAAGGGGCAGAGGTCTCTGCCCAAAGAATGGCCATAGTTTTTGCTCTCCAAAATACTCACTGTTCTGAGAAGAGCTTTTGGGCTTCCCAATATATTTGAGAATGGGGTTTCGTTTCTTGTCCTCCAAGACATCCTTTTCTTTCTTGGAATTGCTGCTCTGCTAAGACAGGAGACGATAAAGTTTGGAGGTAGTCCCATGTCCAGACATGATTGCTAATCACTCTACCCTTGCCCCCCAAACTGGTCCTGAACAAATAATTGGAAGGTTGACTCATGTTTATCTATGGTCAGGTTTGGAGGAAGGTGAGGACTGCTCTAGTCTGGGGATTCTCAATGACTCCACATCAAAAGGATATAGCCAGAGAGTTGTGAAAAATGGCTTTCTTGGTCTATCTACCTCAGGGCAGAGAACTGCTCTAGGAGAGCTGTGCTCTGGGGCAGTTCTGTTACCTTCTTGGTCTTAGGGAAAAAGGGCAGCCACTTGTCCTTGTCAGGAGCAGACTGGGTTTTTTCTGCTGTGCTGGAGGGTCGTGCCTCCCGAAGACGGATCCCAGCATGGCTCATGTAGGTATTAACGGCAAAGTCCATGGGAGCACTGCAAGACAGGAGTGCCATGAACCAGAAAGGTCAAGTAATGTTTCCCGGCAGAAGGTGGAAGGATCAAAACCCAGCTCAAGGCAATCTCCCCTCAGCTGTCCTACAGAGGAAGGAAGAGGTAATTATGATTCAATGTGTTCAAAGGGAAGTCTGGATAATCAAAGTGGAGCAGTAGTAAGAAGTTGGTCAAAAGCTCTGCATTGCTCCCAAGAAATCTTATACCTTCCCTAAGCAGGATTCTTCCCCATGAGGGGATGATGGCTAGTGGATGGGAATACAAATTCCCTAAAATATAGACCACAGGCAGACTTGGAGGGCTGGTGAAGGTCTGTAGCCAGCGTTCTCAGGCACACATGTTGAAGTTTAAAGTGGGTAATACCAACCAGACTTCATCAAGGTATTCTGCTTTTACTGCCCAACCCTGAGAACAAGGAGAAAGGGAGATGGAAAGAGTTGTCAAGGAGCTTCCAATAGTCACAAATGAAACTGTCCAGAGCTCTGTACTTAAAAATGTAATTGGCCCCAAATTCACTGGACAGATTCTCTGCTCTGTGGAGTCAGTACAGCAAAGCTTCAACTCTGGCTTTATGGCCTTACAAAGTGCATGTAGGGAATGCAGACACATTTTAAGCTGATACAAAATAAGGTCAGTCAGGTGTGGTGGTGCATGCCTTTAATCCTAGCACTGGAGAGGCAGAGGCAGGTGGATCTCTTGACATAGAGGTTAGCCTGGTTTACATAGCAAGTTCCAGGCCAGCTGAGGCTACAGGGAGATCTGTCTCAAAAACAAACAAACAAACAAACAAACAAACAAACAAACAAACAACCCAAAACAGTAACAGAAAAAGAAATGGTCAGTATATAAGACTGAAAAAAGAACTGCAGAGTGAATTTGTTTTACTCTCTGTAAAAGCTACCATTACAGATGGATTCTAACATCATTTCTTAGGGAGGTAAAATCACCCTTCAGGGAAAGAAGTAGAGAGGGACACCCAAGGGTAATGTGGGTAGACCCACAAAAGCATGTCTGGGAATGTTAGAAGTGAGGGCATTCTGTCATACCGACTAGATCCATGTCCTAGGCAGTGGTCTCTGAGCAGCAAGGGTCTGTACCTCACCACAACTCCTGCATGTTATGGTTAGTCACCTGGGAACTAAACCTATACAGACTCATGCCCCACAAAGTTAGGACTTCCCTTCAGAAGTGGCAGAAATGGAAAGCATGGGAGTTCAGCCCTACTTCTTCCCGCCTCAGAAGTTGCAAATGAACCACATCGTGGATTCGCTCACCTCCGGTCTTCCTCATATTTGGATCTGGAACAAAAGAAAGAACAGATGCCTCAGACCTGGAAACAGGCTGGTCCCCTGGGTAGAGGCTGGAAGGAGGACAAGTCCTTTCTTACAGAGGAGTATTGATAGGGGATAAATGGTCAGATACTCAGTCTTGGTCGCAGCTCTGGAGCCAGCTTGAGGTTTAGGAGGTGAGAATTTTTATTTCCTCAAGGACTCAATTAGCATAGTGATGATAATGACAATGATGTCCTTCTAGGTCAAAGAAAGGGGAAATGTGGCAAATATGGTCTCTGTTCTGTTTCATGGTATGAAGTTATCAGGGGAGGAGGTGATTCCTGGAGACCTGCACCAAAGAAACTTACTTTAAAGAGGCAAATGACAGCAGCAACTAAGGTTTGGGTATTTCTATGGGCCAGGCATTTTTTCTAAGCTTAAAATGCATCTAATTCTCAAAATACCCACAACATTTTGTGAGGCCTAAATGTCATTTCTTCAAATACAAACCAGTAAAAGTTGGGTGCCTGTGCGTCAATAATGATCCTTTATAATTTTGGTGCCTAGAATCTCGAAACAGGCTCAGTGAGGTGATTAATGCCCCTTTTACTGATGAAGGTCAGGGGCTGAGTTTCAAAGGCCATGCTTTTTGTGTGATCTCCTTTCTAGTCCAGATTTCCTGTCCTCTCCTCCCCCTTTCTCTTTCTTCCTTCTCCTGTTCCTTTCTTCCTGTCCCACCCCTCCACTTCTCTTTCCTCTTTCTTATTCATTGGTATTGGGGATTGAACCCAGAGTCCTGGACATGCTAGGCAAGCATTCCACCACTGAGCCATACCCTTACCCTTTAAAAAAATTTTACCTTGATCCAGGGTCTTGCTAAATTACTGAGTCTGGTTTTTAAATTTTTAAATTTTTATTTTACGTGTATGAGTGTATCACCTGCATGTATGTGAGTGCACCCGTGTCGTGCAATGCCGCGGAGGTCAGAAGAGGGCTTCGGATTCACCTGGAACTAGAGTTAAGGACAGTTCATAGCTACCATGTGGGTGCTTGGAATCGAATCTGTGTCCGCTGCAAGAGCAGCCAATGCTCTTAACCGCTGAGCCATCTCTCCAGCCCCACTGAGGCTGGTTTTAAACCCACTCTGTAGCCAGGATGGTGGTGAATTTATGATGTTCCTACCTCAGCATACTTAGGTAGCTGAGATTATAGGCCTGTGCCACCTGGACCAATTATTATTTTTTTTTAGCAGAATGGAACTCAGGGCCTGGTCTTGTTAGCCAAATATTCTACCACTAAGCTATATCCGACCCCTCTAGTCCATCTCTGTTATCAAATGGCCAAATGACCAATTTACACAAATAGGTGTCTCTTCAAATCTGCAGTTTAATGTCCTAAAGAGACCTCAAGCTTAACATATTAAAAACTGTCCCCTTTGCAAATACCCCCAAAGTGGTTAAGACATTTTCAGTCCTTTAAGATCCTTTAGTAAGAAACTCTTGGATCTCCTTTGATTTCTCTCTTACACCCCACACTGTTTTGGGGATGTCCTCTTATTGGTTCTATTGCTGTCCTTCCTGTTACCTCTGACTCTATCACTTACTTTTCACTTTGCTCTTGCTATACTGGTCTCATTATTTTCCCTGAAATGTCAAGCACAATCCCATTTGGCTTGCTCTGCCTACCTTGGCTGTTCTGTCTGCAATGCTCTTCCACAGATGTTGCAAGGATAGCTTGGTCAGTCCCTCCAGCTTCTCAAATACTACTTTTTCCAGGTAGCAGGTCACCTGGACCACCCTATTTAACACTGAAACCCACTGACTCTGGTACTCCCGGCCTTCTGTACCCTGTTTTATTTCCTCTCCCAGTGTTTACTATTTCTAACATACTGCACAATCTACTTATTTCTTATGTATTGCTGACTCCTCTCATCATTGCATAATCTCCAGAAAGGAACCAACCACTTTGTTTATGAATGTCCCATGTAGAGGTGTTCGGCACACAGTGGAGACAGCATTGGTATTCGACAAACTCGAAGGTCAGTATTACTGACACTACTAAGGCCACCTAGACTAATGCTTACCATTTAGCACAAGAGGCCCAGAGAGATAGAACTAATTGACTAAGGTCACTAGACAGAAAGAAGCAATATTGGAATGAAAAACTGTCTAGGTCTACCAGTGTAGTCATAAAGCCTACCCTGGGATTCAAATCACAGACAACATGGTGGCTTAGAAAATGGGACTGGAGGGGATGGAGAGCTGGCTCAGCAGTTAAGAGTACTAGCTGATCTTGTAGAGAACCTGGGTTTGGTTCCTAGCACTCACATGGCGACTAACAACCATCTACAACTCCAGTTCCAGGGGATCCAATGACTTCTTCTAGCCTCTGTAGGCATTGCATGCACGCAGTCAAAACACTCATACACATAAAATAAACATAAGTAAATTAAAAAAGAAAGAAAACAGGCCTGAAGCAAAAGCAGCTGTGCCTGAAGCCCCTAAGAAGGTGCCTGGCTTTCTGATGAGATTGTGAAAATGACTGTTTCCCTTAAGTCAGTTCTGACCAATGCCTGAAGGATCTTCAGCTCCAGGAGTCCAGGAGGGCAGGTCTCACTCTAAGTGTTAGCCATAAACTCAGAGGCAGGGAGGGAGGAAGGTCAGGGACAGGCTAGAAAAGGGGAAGCAGAAAGTTCACTGCATTCTTGGAGCCTGTGGACTGTCAGAAGCACCAATGACTGCCAACAGTTCTAGGCTTGAAAGTGGGGACCCTCAGTCTGAAAAACGCAGCAGGATCTCCTGTCTTTCAGGTAAAGAGAATCGTGCAAGAAGTGGGAAACAGACCCACAAGATCTGCTGGCCTGTCTGGCAAGTTCAGAGGTAGGAGGGGACTGAATACTCACAAGATGTCTCCAAGGGCAGCCAGCTGCTTTTCGGCCATTTGACGCTCTCGCAGAGGGTCCCCATCCAGCTCTAGCAGGTCATTTTCACCATACAGGCTGCCCAGCCCCAGAGTGCGCTTTGTTCTATATCAGAGATACAAACACACACTCAACAGATGTGCACACAAAAAGGGAAAGGCAAATGTATACTGGATAGAGGCAATGAGAGAGCTCAAGAGGTGCAGAAAGAAGAGAGTGAGGGGCTGTACAGACCTGTAGTCATTGATCTGTTCCTGGATCTCCAACATGGCTGCCTCCTGAGCTTCACAGAGAAAGCTTCGAGGATCCTCACCATTCCGCAGGCGCAAGTCTGTAGTGGGAGTCCAGGGAAGATAGAATAGGAGGGTGTTGTGGTTGGGGAGATCACTTCTGCTGAGTACCTCAAGAGGTTTTAGCAACCTGTGATGCTAGGCGGAGAGACTGGCTTTCTGGCCCATTAGCCTGAAGGCAAATGGAGACCTACATTCCATTCAGGTCATTAATTTTCTTTTTTCAATTAAAAAATTTATTATTGTTTGTGTGATGTGTGGGTGTGCACATAAAGGTCAGAGGACACCTTTGTGGAGTTGATTTTCTCTTTCCACCTTTATGTAGGTTCCAGGAATTAAGTCTCTGGTCACCAGGCTGAGTGCTTTTACTGACTCAGCCATGATGCTGGTTCCATTTGGGTCATTTCTGAGTTTGGGATTAGAATCTTGACATGCAAGACCTAAGTCAAGGACGAAATTATTTTTTAGAGGAAATATTAGAGCCTATTCTCATTGGGTATATTTAAATGTCCTCTGACCTTACCATGCAGACTTCTTACAGGCGTATTCCCTTCTACTTCCCCAATACCATTTCACAGGGCTAGAAAAGATAAAGCACTTCATAGTCCATGAAACCAAGAGATGTGTCTCTCCTGTCCCACCATCTAACACTATGCAGGCTAAGACAAGTCCTTGGAAATGGCAGCTTCATACTGTGTTTTGAGCAAGCTTTTTACTCTATTATGTGTGCATGTAAGCTGTCCTCCCTGTCATCTGTGCTGTAAATTGCCTGTTTCCAAATGCGGTCTGCAAATTCCAGCCTCTAAAACATTACCTGGGCCTAGCTTCTTAAGATGCTGTCTGTCTCTCTCTCTCCTCTCTCTCTTTGGGGACAAGGTCTCATATATCCCAGGCTGGCCTTGAAAACTTGCTATGTAGCTGAGGATGATCTTGAAATTCTGCTCCCCCTGCCTCTACTTCCAGAATACTGCAATTACATGGGTGTGCCTGGTTTATGTGGTATTGGCAAGTATTTTACCAACTGAGCTACATCTTCAGCCCCAAGCTGTTGTCTTCTTTACTCTGCTTCCATCAATTCTTCTGGAATTAGAAGCAACAGTACAATCATCTAGTCTCAGTTCCTCACTCTGACTCTGGTACTTCTGATATTTGTTAGGGAATTTAGCAAACTAAAACCCAACCGCTACCCTCGAAAACAACTAAACAAAAATATCCTCTAAAAATAATACTCCAGAGAATCTGATTCTATGGATGGGACTGAGTAAAGCTCGTTCTTTGTATTTTCACAGGTTCCCTAAGGGGTTCTGAGGAGTGTCCCTATTTAGAAATCCCTGGTTAAGTCTAATTTCTTCTTCATACAAGTAAGCCTACTAAGGCC